ATTTAAATGTATAAGATGAAACTGAAAATGCTAGTGGAATTCATGGGGAAACGTTTAAAAAAATAAGATGAATCCATAAAAGAAAAGGTCAGTGAATTCTACTAAAAAGACTTTATTAAAAATATGTGTGGAAAAGCAATCATAAAGTTAAAAACCCCAAGAATCAAAATTAGAAAAGATTTTCAGCTTCTGTAAAAGATAGTTTTCTAAAATGTGGTGGTGTAAGTGGATTGGAAAAAACCCCCAGTCCTAAACCAATATGAGCCATTATTTCCTGGAAATGAAAAATGAAAGGCTCACTATTCCTTTTTTTTTAATAAGAAAAATGAAAATTAAAACTGCTGAGATGACATTTTTAATTTAGGTTGGGAACATTTTGAAAGTTTAGCATACATCAATGGAAAGAATATAGTATGTTGGTGGTGGAAGTATATTCTGATAAGTCCTCTATGAAGTTCAGTTTGTCAATATTTAAGAAAATTACAAAAAAAAAATTACAGGTGCAAATACATTATGGCCCAAAAATTTACATTTATTTGTATTTGTGTTACAAACAGGCTTAATCATGTTAAAATAATACTTAACTGCTAGAAATAGAAATATTAAAAATTAAGAATAAAAAACTTTTGCACTTGGGAATACAAGAAAAATGAAAGGCTAGCCACAAATTTGAAGAAAATATTTATAAATTATGTATCTGATAAAGGACTTGTATTCAGAATATATGTAAAAACTGTTATAACTCAATAATAGTAAGACAACTCAATTAAAAGGCAAAAAATTTGAATACATTTCACCAAAGAAGATACACAACTGACAAATAAGTACATGAGAAGATTTTCAACTTTACTAGTAATTAGAAAAATACAAACTAAAACTTCAGTGAAAGAAATAATAATTTTTCATCTAGTAACAGAAATGCAAAACAAAACCCATACTAGTTGCTGCCAAGTTGACTCCAACTTACAAGGACTCCAGTGTGTCAGAGTAGAACCAAAGAGTTGGCTGAATTTCTGGAAGTAGATTTCCAACCTTTCTTCCAAGGTGATCTGGGTGGACATCAATCTCCTTTTAGTTAGCAACCAGTTCATTAATCACTCAGGGACTCTGTTCAATCCACTACAAAGTCAATAATAAAAAAGGACAAATTGTAACTAATGAGAGTCAGAATGTGGAGAAATAAGACTTTCATGCATTGCTGGGTATCCATGATAGTGAGGATATAAAATGATAAGGCAATTTTGGAAACAGTCGGACAGTTCCTTAAAAAAAGCTAAATACAGGGAAAAAAAGCTAAATGTACATTTATCATATGACTATTTCTTCACTCCTTAGTATGTACACCCTAGAGAAGTGATAACATACAAACATATATGTTATCATAAAAGGATTTACATGAGACAGTTCATGGTAACATTATTCCTAATAACTAAAAGGGAAAACAACTCAAATCTCCATGGACTGGTGATTGGATAATCTGTGATGTATCCATACAATGAATAATTAATGAAAAGGGACAAAGTACTGATATAGGCTATGATATATATAAATCTTGATAACACTAGACAAAACAGCTTAAGTCCAAAAGACCATGTATAATTCCACTTGATGAAGGGACCTCTGACAGCTTGAGCATTATGCTGCCGATGCAAAGTCATGTGGTTCAAATTTACTAGTTGATCTGCAAGAGAAAGATGCAATCTCAAGTGTAATTTACTGCCTCTGAAAACCTACTAGAAGGTCAGCTATGAGTTGTTTCTGAAGTGATGGTACACAACAACAACTTATATATGAAATGTTCGAAAGGCAAATATAAAGACACAGAAAATAAATTAGTAGCTGCAAGGAGCTCTGTGTGGTGTAGTGCATAATATCTTGGACTGCTAACCTTTCTCCACTCGAGAAAGGGATCGGTCTTCTGGAAAGATTTACAGCCTTGGAAACATGATGGAGAGGTGCTGTGAGTCGGAATCAACTTGACAGCAGTGTTGTGTTGTGGTGTTGTTGTTGTTTTAAAAATAGGGTGAACAGGGAATAACTGCAAGATGTGGTGGTTGTTTATGAGCTGTTGAGTTGATTGTGAACTATGAACAATGAATCGGAACCCTGCCCTACCTTGTGCCATCTTCACCATCTCCAACAGACCTGAGCCTGCTGTTAAAGTCACTGTCAATCTGTCTTGTTGAGGATCTTCCTCTCTTATGCTGACCCTCCACTTTTCCAAGCATGACATCCCGCTCCAAGGACTGGTTCCTCTTAACATGCCAAAAGAATATGAGACAGAGTTTCCCTATCCTTGCCTGCAAGGAGTACTCTTTTTTTTTTCCTGTTTTTTCCCCCTATAATTATATTTTATTAATTTTCATAAACATTTACAGAGATTTTGGGTTTCCATTCATTCATTGTTGCACTATTCTCTCTACCCTCCTCCCA